AATTTTCCATATAATGTTTTATCGCATATCGATAGAATGGGTCACTGTGTCTCGTCGCTGTCGGTCGCAACTTGTCTGCATTATATATTGGGCGTTGTTGGTGTTGTTGCTGTTATGGTTGCTTGTTACGAGTTCGTTCGCCAGCACAAATAGCATAGCAGAGTCAGCAACAACGGCTATGTGAAGAGTGTAGTGGCAAAATAAGTCAGGTGCGTGCAGAGTTGAGGGTTCGGATATATCACAAATCAAATCTTAAATATGGTAAAATTAAAATTAAATAAATGAAAGATATATAAAATATTAAATTTTGCAATCCTATCATAACGCAATTTGGCAATAATGAGTTTATATGCTTATATAAAACCGATCAGAAAACGCTCGTTAAAAGTTAGTAATGCGAGAGTAAATTATAACGAATTATATATCAAGTTTTAGAGCGCTCAGCATTTTGATGGTCCTGAGATTAAAGAAGAGTTTAAGTCGAGAGATATGAAGAGAGAGTGATTGCGTTACGCTATCGCTATCAACAGTCCAAGCTACGAACAATCCGAAGAACTATGCTCAATTGTATCTTAAAAAAAATATATCCTACAGACAGACAAAGAGAGACATTCTTTTTCACGTTACAAATTTTCGGCTACATTGTAGTCGTTTTTAGGATAGTGAAATGCGCATATGACGTACCCACCTCAGAACGATCGAACAATCGTTTGAAAATTACGAATATAATCGTTTTTCTTTTTACCATTAAGATATCCTGAAGTGAGGACCCTCTTAAACATTGAACTACCTACACACCACTGCCGACAGCTACGAGCCTGACTAAAGGTACGGCGGAGCTGCGGCAGAGGAAAATTGAGCACACGAAGCGAAGCAGGCAAGCAATTGAACGAACGAACGAACGAAAATTGACAGCAATGGCAGCGGCGAAAGCAACAAAAACAGCAGCAAACAGAGCGACTGACTGCCAAAGTGTATTGTTGTATATACGTTGGTGTGTAGCGATGTGCGTTCCTGCTCTGACTCTATATGTATGCATTAAATGTGCCCTGCATGCATGAAGGTGCGTGTGTGTGTTGGTGTGTCGGGCATGGAATCGCCCGTCGTACGGTTGTTGTTGCTATTGTTATGCTTTGCTGTTATTCTCTATCGCTTCTTGTATGCATGTGTGCGTGTGACTGTATCCGTGTGTCTGTGTGTGAATGCGAATGTACACTTTTTCATTCCTCCATTCACCTCATTCGTGCCCGTACTTCGAGCATACTTCAACGTGCATACATAAAATATGTATATGTGTGTGTATACACATTTAACAATACCGAGGAAGTATGTTCATACAAAAATACAAATTCGAATGCATATATACAGCAACAACAATACACATACATATCTACAGAAATATGTGCACACAAGCGTCGTTGGTATTTAGGTACGTTGGCACGTATATACAAGCGCTCATATATATATTTACAATACATATGTACATATGCACATTTGTATCTACAAAAAACCCATCCAACTCAACGCGACTCAGCTCGGCTATCGTCGCATTTCAGCGCTCCGCGCCGCGCCGCAGCACCCTAAAAACTGCTGGTTGTACTGCTGTGGCGAGCGTGAGCAAGATAGCGCTAAATAAAATAATAATAATATTGCCAGTTGGGTTTTTATACGAAAAACAAAAAAAATACATTTTATGCTCTGTGAATGTTTTTCCCTCAACACCAGCGACTTGAAACGAACTTTGTGCATGCTGAATACTTAGCTGGTGCTGGAGCTGGTCGTACGTTTGCTAAATGCTAGCGTTGTAGCAGTAAAAAAAGCAAAAATAATAACCGCTAACAGCAAATAAGCCAGCCATCTAGTAGCGTTCGCTAGCAAACAAGTAAGTTGGCAATAGCATGAGCCAAGCGCTGGAAGACCTCATTTACGCACACATGCATAAATATCAATAATCAACTTGCTTATGGTGTGTTGGTGAAGCCACACAGGCTTTTCAGAAGGCTCTGCGAAACGGATATGGCACACATACAAGCACAGTTTAACATGCATGTGTGGGCATACTCGTAAAGCTTCTGCACGGATATGCGTCAAAAAGCCGCGCAACCGATCGATAAGTTGTTGGCGAACGACAGGATCTGCTGGCAGATGAGTTTTGTGCGCCGGTATAGCAGGTTGGGCGTTTATAAATTTATTAAATAATAAAATGTAGCTGATTTTTAACAGTTCCATAAGTATACTAGCACTGTCTGTGTGCCTCCTGTAAAATCGAGTGAACTATTTATTAGAATATTCGACAGACATTTTTTTTTGAGGGAATAATATTTATTTTGCTTTAAAAATTAATAACAATATTTGTTATATATTTCATATTCCAAATTAATTAAATATGATTATATCCGAAAAAGTTTAAAAATCCCAATTTTCTGTTATTATTCGAAAAAAAACTGCCGATTAAAATCACGATTCAACCGAAATTTGAGTAATTGTAAACTAAATCCTTTGAAGCAAAATTTTTCTGATACAGAAATTTAGTTTCTAGTGCAACTTGTTACTTCCAAAGCTGTTTCAAAACTTGGTATATGTCGATAGGTGATAACGCTGGTTCAAAATACGTCCAGAACTATTTAAGGTATTTTTAACCATCTTATACCTGGCATACATTTTGTTAAACTTATTTAGCTTAGCTTTATGTTTTCGATTTTTTATTCCAAAACATGTCAAAGTTAGAGACTTCTTAAGAGGTTACATGAGTTTCCTCGAGCCAAAAGCGGTATATTTTCAATAATTATTTTTCATATAAAAAATTTAATATTTTATTCAAACTTTTTATTATTCCAAAGATACATATTTTACATAGGTTTTGTGAATGTCTCAAAGGAAAATGCTCAAAACTCCGCCATTACGACATCATTTCCGGCAGTCTCTCGGAAATAAGATGGATCGATTTTACAGGATCGTCTGAAATAAGAAGAAAAAATACGTGTTAATTACCACAAACTAGGTATTCGACTAAAGAAATAAAAGTGAAAATTGTATATTTGACAGACTTTTTTTTTTTATAAAAAAATCCGAGTTTGGGTGAACATTTGAAAACTTTCCGTTTGTAATCTATTTTGTATGATTTTATCGTTTCCTTATTCGAAATTTTAAGTTTCTCAGGAATCGGACTTAGATCGATATCTCGAAAAATGATTGAAGACAGTATAGTCATAAACAATCTACTTTTAAAGATTATTTTTCTTTAAATGTGTATTCATATTTTTGCTATATTGGTCCGATCCGAGCAGTTTGTTCGAAGATTTTAAAGATGCCTTAAATATATGCCAAATTTCGTAAACCCAAAATATATTTACAAATAAAAAAAGGTGTGCATATAAGGACTTGAATTTTATTTGTCAGTTTGTATGGTAGCTATTGTGGTCCGATAAGGAGGGACTAGTTCGCGTATGTACAGGCGGATAGGCAAATGGATATGTCTGAATCGGCTCAGCTCGTCACGCTGTTCATTTAGGTAATTCCTTACCTTCTTAGATTTGCTTTTATTAATAATCGAATAATATATTCAATTATAATGCAAGCCAGTGAGAGATGCGCCAGTTATCCCTTTTTTAAGATTATACTTTATTTGAAAAGTTTCTCTGACAAATTCGGTCATTCCCTATCAGCTAACTTTTTCAGAAGCTTTCAATCAGGTTTTTAGGGAAATCCACGTCTATATTTAGATCTATAGATATCTATCTCCAATCGTGTCTGATATATTT